CATATTAGTAAAGCATTAGGATAGGCTAATGTAATAAAAATATACAATTATCATAGCTCGAAGTATAAATTATATTTAGGACCTCGAAATAAAAGTCGATAAAATTATTTAAAAAATAATAGTGAATACCTAAAGTAAATAAGTATTTGATTTTTTTACAAAAATCCAAGCTTCAGAGATATCTTGGCTAAGAAAGTTATGAAATAATATTCAGAAATAATAAATAATCACTCATCTTGATACATTATACAATGAGTGATAATATTTACTCACGAATTTTTAACAAATACTCGACAAATTTTGTTTTTACATTTGATAAATAAATATAATGGGATAAGCAATTTACCTCGTTGATAGTCATCTGATCCCTTAACGAACCATAAGAATGCTCTTTGAGAGGAAAGCTCTGGGTATATAAACCTCCAAGAGGGGCATATCCCTGATGACCTCCCGAAGCCAATTCATTTACAACATGAGTGCTTATCTGTTTTTAATGTTATATATATTTATTTTTACTGTAGTTAGTATATTAACCGCACGTATCTTGTCCTTATCAAAAACAAATGCACTAAGAATATATTCGATTCCCTCTAGCGTCTGGTGGTCAACTAAAGACCTTAATACGTTAAAGCAACAAATATTTACCCTTTTACACATTCTAGCGCTACAAGTCTACCGGCCTGTGTGACCGGTATGCAATTTATTATTTCCCGAGCTTCAGCACAACTCATGCAGCACAGACGCTAAAGAATCTGATAAACAAAATGTACTTTTTCTAAGGCTCTTATAACTTTGATTCTATCTGGGGCTGATTTGAATTCCTGTAAAAGCGAAGCTGCCTGTGAATACATAAAAATGCAAGGGAACATGCCTGGACTCCACTAAAGTATCCCTTTGAATAATAAAGAATATCAAATTTTTTTTGAAAACTGGTTGTTTCCCATCTTATTTCCGACACTAGCCTACTAAACTGACTATCTGACAGTGGAACTTTAGACATCAAAGAGAAGAATCAAAATCCCAGAATCAATTGTCATAACACTTAAATCATAAAACAAATATTATTAAAATAAAAATATTTAATCTTTTTATTAAATCAAAATAAAATTAATTAATTTAAGTAATTCTAAAGTAATTTTTTATTATTTAAATGACTTCATATGCGCACTAGTCAATCTCTCTCCCAAGTTTGTTACCGCTCTTTTCTTACATATCTCTACAGATTCGAAGTTGTTAGTTATTCTTTTGTCTTAAGTCCTTTATACTTTTTGAAGCTTTACACCTTTTTGTTTTATTATTTAAAATTATAATTTCTTGATTAGTCTATAGCATAATGTTACTTTAACTTAGTTTAATTAATTATTACAATTTTTGCAACCCCCAATGTATATATGTATGCATATATACATAAAACCTACGAAATAATGGAATATTATGTTTGTTCTATATTTGCTCATTAAAGATGTTTGTAACTTACTATATTATTTTTACTTATCCCTATTTCT